CTCCCCCTCCTCCTCCTCCTCCTCCTCATCATCATCATCATCATCATCATCCTCATCATTATCATCATCATCACCATCACCGCGTTATAATATAATCCCCAGATGTCGCTATTGGAGCCCCTGGTGAGAATTACGGTGAGGGGTGTGTGTACATCTACCTCGGTACTCGAACTGGTTTACGCCAGCCTTTCTCACAAAGACTTTGTTCTTCACAGGTAAGTCTCGGGACTGATTCTCTTCTTGGACTGTTACTTTAAAAAATTAGATATTAAACAATTCAGTCAGTCTTTCTGGAGCTGTATATGTTTATTTCTTGCCCGCAGTTTCACATTTATGCTGTGAGCAGTTAACCAGGCAGCTAGTTTGTCTCGGTTATGACTAACTTTTTACGTGGGTGGTTGGCTGGTTCTCTTGTGTGGTTTGCTCTTTTATATTCTCATTTAATTTAATGTATGTGTTTTCCATCCCATTAGGCAGTTTAGATCAGCTGTCAGGGCCAGTCCAAAGTCCAAGTTGGGAGAGCCACAACCCCCCCCCCTCCCCCAGCTGAAAGATTTACTTGATAAAAAGTCTCCCCTCTCGGGAATCGAATTCAGGTCTCTTTCATGCGATGGCGAAGCGCCTAACCACTACACTACAGACGCTGATATTCTAGTGATAACAGCAATAGTTATGATAAAGATAAGAAAACCATCAAATTTTTCATGGTAGGCTTTAATCACTGGTGTGTTTTAAATCTTTACCTCAGCTCCCTTCTAAAGCTCGGAATGAAATCCCAAATGGTTTCGGGTTCAGCATCTCGAATGCCGCCACATCACCAGGAGATGGCTATCCCATTTTCGCCGTGACATCTGTGGTCAAAGATTCTGTCACCCTAATTCACTGTAGGTAAGAACAGATGCCAACAATTTAACTGGATGATAAGACTGGATCGAGTCGGATCGAGTGATGGAGTTGGCTAGAAGGTACTCTACATCAATCAGACCTCTGTTTTTCTTTATCAAATATATGGCCTGTGGGCGATAGGCAGGTACGTGCTCTGGTGGGGTTTGCTCCTTCTTTTCTATCAAACATCTATCGTTCCTATCGCTTTTCCTTCTTTTTTGTGTTTGTTACTCTCTTGAAACTCCCTTATCTTTGGCACATATAATTATGATATTGTTTTGCAAGTGCCATAAAATACTTACTAAAACATAAAACAGAAAGCAATAATGTAGGTAGCAAGGTAAGTATCTAGGTAGGTAGCTAGGTAGGTAGGTAGGTAGGTATTTCATTCAATGTTTAAAACAGGAGGTCCACATCACATAAAGCATTCCATTTTACAGAAAAGACTTCAGTGAAATAGCACAGATTATTATTGACGCAAATTTTAAAAAATTGTTGTGTTTTTATACAAAGTTCCACTGCAAAATAGTATAGGCTCTACAAATACCTTTTTTGGTGGGTTAACATTGTAGCATTGTAATTAGGTACATGGTGTGAGAATAACTTCAATAGTTTGTTTCTCCTATAGTGTGCATTTTTGAGGTGACATAGTTAAGCCAATTCGCTAGCCTTTGGCGTAGCAAGAGTTAAAATGCAAAGGACACATTTTTTGGAGTTGAATAGCAATAGAATGTGGCGCTCTTGCAGTTTGTCTTGGCCTTTCTCACTGACTGGAACTACATCTATAATATCTAGAATGAGTGGGTTCATTGTAGCGGTTCAGAAAGTCTATTTTTGCCAAATTGTACTCAGACATTGAATCGAGGAATGACCATAAATGCAGACACTTGAGTATACAGAGCCACTTGTAGATAATACAAATACTTGCATACAAATACACTTAATAATAAAACTCACACACATATGTCTACACCCACAAACACACATATGCTGGCACATACCAAAATTAACACAAAGACAAACACATCCACTAACATACTTACGCTCACACATATTGATGCAAGCACAAACACATTCACAAACATATACATATACGCTCGCACATAAGAAAACAAACACAAACACATACACAAAAACACATACGCTCACATATATCGAAAAAGACACAAATGCAAACTCATCCACATACATAAGCTCATACATACCAATAAAACACAAACACATCCACAAACATATGCGTGTACCCTACAACTCTGCTTCTATTTTATCTGTTTGCACAAAATAAACATCAAACTGAGAAGAAATAAATTACCTTTGAAATAAGCATACAGAGTTATTGACAGTCACTATTAGAAGGATGTGCGTTTGTGTAATACTCTTTTAAAAAACTAAGCTGAACAGAAACGTTGTTGCGAATCAGAAATTTGTTCATACGTTAACAAAGTTGGTTTTTAAAAAATGTTCTGTGTATAATATGATAAGTTTGATTTGAACGCTATTTTATGTATGCCAAAGATGCCATGTCTTCCTGAAAACAAGTCAATAGAAGTTGTGTTTCATTTTGTTGATTTCGTGACTCTCTCTGATAAGGCCTGTGGTAGAAGTAACTGCAAGCCTGAAGGCCACACCCAATCCCCTGAAGCTACCTTGCCCAGCCACCTCACAGGGCTGTCTACAGGTAGAGGTCCACTTGAACTTCACTGTGAGGGGATACTCTTCAATAAAGACTCTTGGTGAGGCTCTCTTCCAGCGAAATATTTAAAGTGGGGTGATCGCTTTTTTAATATGTTGAAAGTGCATAATCAGGTTTGTTTGGGGAGTCTGGCTGATCAGAGTACACCTATTATACTCTTTATTGTTGTGTAGAAGTATGTGATAGCTTGTGTTTTTATCACCATCATCATCATCATCATCATCATCATCATCATCATCATCATCATCATCATCATTATTGTTTGGAAAGCAGAGTAGGAGGGAGAGCTTTGTTTGAATTTCAGACAAAATAAAATAACAATATAAAATGTTTAAAATTTGTTTAATAGACACTGCTCAACATTTTGCCTCTTGGGCTTCCTCAGGAGAAACTCATCATTATCATCATCATCATCATCATCATCATCATCATCATCATCATCATCATCATCATCGTCATTTTCATCATCATCATCATCATTATCATCATCATCTTCATCATCATCTTCATCATCACCATTATGGACAAAAGTTTTTAAAACATTGTAACCAATCCTTTTTTCGAAGACTTCGACATTGATCTCGCTATCGACACTCAAGTTAGCTCTGACTTGTCCAAGAGAGCACAGTTTCTGCAGGGAACATCAGTTGGACCCACAGCAAAGAGGGAAAAAATAACGATACAAGCCAGCGGGAGCTCTGTCAAATTTGGTGCCACGATACTGGAAGTGAGATTTTAATTGTTCTGATTTTGTTGAAGAGTTGTTTTATAATGAAATTTTGACTTTTTGTTAAGGACTTGTGTTTTTTATATTGAAGTTTTTGTTCACAAGGTGTTGTGAGAACAGAAGCGTTATATTTTCTTTTTCCACGCTCTGTGCTGAAGCACCCACAACAATAGAATAATTGTTGTATAGCAGTGTGAAGACAATCATTATAGTCTTAGTTTAAGCGTTTCTTGATAAATGATAACAAGATATTGCTTGATGAAGCCCACGTGGGACGCCCAATGTTAAAAACAATCAGGAAATGACAAATGCAGTTTTTGGGACACCTGAATAGACATAACAGTCTTGAACATCTAGCTCTCACTGGCAAAATTGAGGGCAAGCGAGGCAGGGGTATGCCCAGAACAACATACTTAGGGAACCTAAACAAATGAGTCACAGGGAAAGATCAGGGAAACGTAGCTTTTTTTAGAGCATCCGAGCAAAGGAATGAATGGAAAACCATGATCGCCGATGTCTGTCGCAGATCTGGCACTGGGTGATGATGATGATGATGATGATGATAAATGCAACAACAGTAAATCTATAGTTCTCCATTTCTCGGAGGTTTAGATAGTCTAACTATATTTGTCTTCCATGCTGGTTTTGTTTAAACTGTTGCACATGGAAAGTCATCAAAAGATTCTATTCATACTCATTGGCTAGTTGAACTCTTCTAGCATTTCTATCTGTCTGTATAACTGTGTGTGTCTGTCTGTCTCTCATCATTCCCTCTGATGTATTTGTTCAACTATTATGCCCCACCCCCCTCCCATTCAACATGGCTCTAAATCCCCAGGTCCCGGCATTTTATTCTCTTATCATTAGAAATATATTGCACCAGTTTCTCATCCCTTTCAACACAGAAAAACATGTTACTAAGAAGGACAACCAAACTTGACATCCTTCTCAGATATCACTGCCAGTACACATCAGTCTCCTTTCCATATATGTAGATTGATAATCACAATCAGATCAGTTGCACTCTAGTATGAGATGCAGCCTCCAAATACTGGAATGACAGCGTACGTCAGTGTCCCGGATACTTCTGTTGATACAAATTGTGTCCGTTTTCTTTCAGTGTTCTGCTCGCGAGATAATCTGTTTGTTTGTGGTAGGTTGTCTAACAAACAACATTACCTTTCTTTTAAGAAGGCCACCCTCAAATTCCCAAAATCCTGCAAAATGATGATAAAAAACAATGACATCTAAATAACGAAACAAAACATGTAGATTAATGAATGATAACTGTGCTGCTGCTGCTGCTGCTGCTGCTGTTGCTAGATTGCATAAAGTGCCCTGTCCCATACAAGGTAGGCTTATATGGTCTTAATAATAAACATCAATGGCATGATCACTGCACAGTTGTTCAATGTTTATTCACAGGCTCAAGTTGAGCGCGATCGCTTCACTCCAGTCGAGATCCGAGCTACGTACAAGCTGGCTGACCAGGACTCTATAGGCGGTGTGCGCCCCGTGCTTGATGCTTTTAAACCCAACAATATCAGTCACATAGTGAGTACAATATTCTTCTCCTTCTCCATCTCCTCCTCTTTCTACTCGTACTCTTTTACTTTCTCCTAATTCTTCTCTCCTCTTTCTCTTTCTCCTCCTCCCCCC